AGCGTGTTAGCATACAAAGACTTGGACATGTCTCCTGGTCCTGGTCTCAGGGTTGAGTTCTGCACTCCTGATTGAATGCGATTGAGTTTCTGTTTGGATTTCTTGGCGTTTCAGTGCTCGCGGCTGTTTGTTCACTTGGCTTTTCACGTCTTGTTTGAGTTTTTCTTCATACTTTGTGTTTCTGTCCAGCCGTGCTGCTCTTGGCCCTCACCTGTTCTAGTCTTCCAGTCAGTTCTCTGCATGTCTCCATATTTCGCCCCGTTTCTTCAGCTCTTGTCAAACTTCAGTTGTTTCGCTGAAGTCGTGCCCTGTTTGTGTGTGATATTCTGTTTCCTTTGGTACTTTGTTGGTGGATATTGTCTTTGTCTCGTCTTCACACACCTTTGTGTGACACCACGGTGGAGGCTCAAAGAGTTTGGGGTCTTTACTAATCTGTTGAATCGCTCTGAGATCTAAAAGTGAAAAAATATTCATACGCAGATGATAAGACACTTTTTGTTTTTACTTTCTTAAAGATTTGACACCATACAGCCTCCGCTGTGTTACACACAGCAGACCTCAAACATAAGGATCAGGGTGTGGATCCATCTCTCCGTCAGACCCTGTTCCTCGGATCTTCAGTCCAGTTCTGTGTCATTTTCATACATCAGCCTTTGCTCCTGTTTCCCTTCATTAAGATTGACTTGCTGACAGCCGTCCTTCACTGAGAGAGTTTCTGATGAAGCTAGGGTCAGGGTTAGGGTTCACTAACCCAGGCTTCATGAACAGAAGATGATCGGCTGAAGGTCCAGATCATCTCTCAGGGCCTCCGTCAGATTTCTGCTGGATCTTTTGCTCTTTTCTAAAGAACGTACTTTCAGATTCGTCAGCTGTAGATAATTGTTCTCAGCCTTTTCTCCACAAGTTTTCAGTTCTTCAGGAATCACCCTGTTGGTGCAAAAAAATATGCTGTTTCACTGTGTTATCTTTGGGATTTAAAAAAAAAATGCAACTAAGAACGGTGAATACATGTGTTGTGTGACAGGCTGCTGATGACAAAGAGGCCAAAGATGCAGCTCTAAGCTAAGCTGTGACAACACAACACTGGAATGATTCATAGCTCAAAAACACTCCTCTGAAACGTTCAGATACAAGTGAACAACATCTGGAAATGAGTGAAAAACAGCCAATGTCCAAAAACACCATTGAAAGACTTCAAAAATTGCATTTTTGCTTACAGCACAGTCGCCCCCTGCTGGACATGAAGAAAAATACAGGTTTAAGGTACTATGGCACTGGCTTCACTTTGTAATCCGTTAAGAAATGTTGCCACGTCTCCAAATTTAACTTCTAATCAACCAGCAAAGGAACTCAAAGTGTTATAGCTGTGATCTGTCTCATTTAACCAGGTGTAGATTGCTAACTAGGGACCAGTGCAGCCAGGGCGGCCCGTGGCATAGGCCGTATAGGCAAATGCTAAGGGCGCCGTCCATCAGTGCCACAAATTGAAAGAAAAAAAAAAAGTGGTACTATTATCAAATACAAAAATAATCCCACGTTATTAAAATGCAAAGTAAAGCTATTTAATAGAATATATTTGTTACAACATTACACTACACTGCTGATGTAGGGGGCGCCACCTAAAATCTTGCCTAGGGCGCCAGATTGGTTAGGGCCGTTTCTGAGTGCAGCTCCAGTTAAAGCTCACAGATAACCAAATGAGCCCCACGATGCGTCAGTGACGACTCCGAGAGAATCACTCAGCTGTAAGAGAGAAACCAGTGCTTTCGTTATCAGGTACCAGATGTTTGACGTTCCTCATGAAAAGGCCGCACAGGAGAGACCTCTCTGAGGCCCTGAGGTATCTATCTATCTCAGCTCATCCATAATAACTGAAAAACATAAAACGAGTCATCTGGAATGAGCCCGGGCTGATGGGCTCTCTCAGTCAACACGCTAACGTTTTACAAGCTGCCATTTCTGTGACGAGAGTGGATGCTCATAAATCAGCTGATCTGTGAGTCCTGACGCAGAGACCGCTGCCGTTCCCTGCGTAGACGCTCCTCACATCCATGAAACTACCAACAAAGCTAGGCATGCAGTAATGATCCATTCCTGCCCCTGGTGGTCGTATGTATGTAGCATGTAAGCGGACAGCCCGCAGTGGCTGCAGCTGCGTTTTTCTACAGTGCATGTGTCTGCTTGTTAGAAGCAAAGCAGTGGAAAAAGAAAAGGAGCCGTCAATTCTACATGTGCTCCAGTCATGTATTTCCTGCAATTACAGACTCTGTGTAACATCTTGGTATCAAAGTAAAGCGAACGCTTGTGAGATTTCTTTAGAGGTGTAAATATTACAGCAGAAGTTACTGTGTCAAAGTTACCGAGGCTGGAGCAAAAAGAAGTAAGAATATTTTTTATCACCTAATTTGTTTGTATTATATTGGTTATAAACTCTTTGAAAATATGTACAGTGGACAATAAACTCCAGGAAACCACATATGAGCATCATCTGTGCAAACACAGAAATTACACAGTGGGTTTAATGAGGACACAGGCCGGCGTTTGGCACATTGTAACACATCTGTGAGTAGAAATTTCTGTTGAACAGCAAATGATTGAACTTTATTTACAGGCCTAAAAAATGTTTGTTGTTTGAATATTTTTTGAAGAATTACCAACACTCTCAGTATGATGGGATGGTTGACGTTGTGCCCCAGAGTTGATTAAATAGGCTGAACTTCGGCTTCTATTGGCTGATTTGCATGGCTGACAGTAGAATCACAGTAACGTCACTACATTTACATCAGTCCCACAAGTCAAAAGTTGCAAGGTGAGAAAAACGTGCTGTAAAATTTACAACAATTTACGACTCTCTAACTGGGCTGGAAATGGCGATTTGATGTGAACGGCTCTGTGTTGGTGTCCAAGGTGGAGGCCTCACAGAAGGGTCGTAGCATTTTGTGGAATCGCTTCATGTTGTAGTTTATCGAACATGAAACGTCTGCGGTTCGGAGCGTAATGAAAGCGTCGTCTGATTTGTGACGTTCGCTCCAGTAAATCTGAGCTTCGGTGTTTTTTGTTTCCATACAGTTGGTGAAATGATGCTCTTTTAATGTTTGTTATTTTTACCTGTTTGATGGTCGTAGAAATATTTTTATGAGCTTTTATTTGAGATTCAGGGTTTTTGTGGCTCCCACACGACTGTATTTACATAACAGGTCACACAGACGCAGTCACCTTTGTCTGGATCGAACAAACAAAGCCTGGATGTAGTTATGTGACCGTGTAAGGATTGAGAAGCTATGGGTAAAACTTTAACAGTAATAATTCAACAGTGTTACTAGTGCACATTTGCCTGTACTGTAGTAATGTGTTCACAGTTCATGCTGATACAGCAGCTTCCAGCAGAGCGCTGCCATTGTTCAAGCGTGGACTGATCTTGTTGTTATAGAGGTTTCTGGAGCAGTGACTGACACAGTTTGGAGTTTCAGTTTTAGGTCAGCCAGCGTTTGATAAAGTGCTTTATGTCTGAGGTACAGCTGTTCAAACACACAGTCTAACACTTTGTGATACTTTTTAAAGGTTTTACACATTTTTCTGGTCAGTACGGCAGCTTGTCCTCAGTGTTTTTTATCTCTATGGAAACTTTGCAGAGGAACTACAAACGCCAGCACAGATTTTGACTGAAACTAATTTAGTGTATTAGAGACACAGTTTCCTGCTCCAGTGATCATAATTTCTCCATTAATGACAGTTTCATGTGTCATTTCCTGTCCTGAGCCTTTACGTGGCACAAACAATGACATGTGAGGTACAACATGAACTCACACATCAGTGCTCAATAAAATGTTTTATGTGTGCTTTCAAAAGTCTGACCTGCGCAGAGGTCCCTGTCCTCCACAGCAGGCTGCAGGAGCATGAAACAGCTGGATTATTGAGCACACTATCTGTGCTCGTGTCTGTAGCCTGTGAAACCTCTGCTTATCAGCACATCTGAGAAAGTCATTGTTGGAAACTGCACACGGTGTCACAATCTGCTGCCACACTTCTCTTTTCACTGTTAATCTGATCTACATCTAGTTTCCCATCTTCCTGTTTCTCCAAAGCCCAGTTTAGCTGTGGTGTTCCCCAGAGCCCCGTGCTCGGCCCACTGCTCTGCTCGGGTTACCCACTTCTTCTCAGACATGATACTCAGAACTGTACGATGATATCTATCCACAGAGAAACCACGCACACAATATCTTAAAAATACATTTTAGTCTGCAAACTTTTGGCACATCCAGTTAAATTAATAATTAATATTGATTAAAACCCTGATATTTTCATACAGTTTTATTCAGATAATGCAAAACAAAACAAAACACAGGTCTACAAAATGCCAAATATTAAAACAGCAGGGCAGGTGTACAGCATGCTTCAAGAAAAGAAGATGAGGTTCAAGTGACAGTTATGGGAAGATCCAGAAAATGAAGAAGTTTAGCTTCTTATCTTTAAAAACAGCAGATTTAATCATCATACACAAAAAGAAGCTCCTGCTGGTGACACGAGAACAGGAATAAACGCCTCGACTGTAATACCAAATTATTCCAACAGGGCGCTTCATTCTCAGATTGCAGGATTATGTGTTACATGTTCATGTCACAGAAACCGACCTCGATGTCCCAAACATCCAAACCTGCCCGTTAAAAAAGTACATTATGTTTAGTTCAGTTAGAGATGTGGTTTATAGCATCAAACTTCATTAGCAAAGAGTACAGTTGCAACCTGCACGACACAGTTACTTCTAAATCACAAGAACAATACGTGAAGTCAAAGCGTGAGATTCTGCTGCTGTGTTTTTAGTTTGATGGATAATAAGCTGCTGTGGTCACCTGTGTTTCTGAGGACAGCTGTTGGACTTGATGTCCAGTTTTGTGTCATATAAACTGGATGCAGTAGATGAGAACATCTCACAGTCTCTATGATTAAAGCACAGTTTCATAGCAAAGCTTGAGAGTGATGAGCGCCAGACTGATTTCCCTTTATAGCTGAAGTGTTAAGCGCTGAATGACGACATGTTGTTGGAGCCTTCCGACAACTTCAGCCCTGACACGCAGATCTCGGACGTGCCACGTGACGAGCGAGCGGTGTAGATGTACCTTTTGCTGAAGCACCAGAGGTCCAGCATGATCTGGCGGAAGTGGTTCCTGAACTTGACCCCGACGAAGGCGTAGAGGAAGGGATTGAGACAGCAGTGCAGGTAAGCGACGGTCCTGCAGATGTTGAGAAATTTGAGTTTAAGGTTCTCGGCGTCGCAGCTCCTCTGCTTGAACAGAGACAGCATGTGGATCAGCAGGGTCACGTTGTACGGAAGATGGCAGACGATGAAGACAGCAACGACCGCCAACACCACCCGGACGGCCTTGTGCCGCTGGTTGCTCTGCGCCCTCAGCAGCGTGTAGATGATGCAGGAGTAGCAGAACGCCATCATGCACAGTGGCAGCAGGAAGCCAACAGCCATCTGGAGGCTGGGTACCAGCAGCTTCACGAGCGCCGCAGTTTCAGTCTGGTTGAAAGACATCTGACACATCACGGTGACGCGGTCAGACCCCGGGGAGTTATCTTCAGAGGGTTCAGTGTAGATGAGCGTGGGGAGAGTTAACGCCACTGCAAACACCCAAACCGCCAAGCAGATCAGGCGGCTGTAGACGAGGGCACGGGAGCGCGTCCCAAAGGAGCGCGTCGCCCGAACAATCGCGATGTACCGATCGCAGCTGATACAGGCGAGCAGCAGCATGCCGCTGTAGAGGTTAATGCTGTAGGACGACCGGAGCACCTTACAGGCCACCCTGCCATCGACCAATCGTGCTGCTCGTTGTATATGACGAACGGAAGTGTAGCCACGAAGATCAGGTCGGCCACGGCCATGTTGAAGAGGTAGACATCCGTCATGGTCTTGGTTCTCTTGTAGAAGCTGTAAGTCACCATCACCAGGACGTTGCCAATCAGGCCGAATCCGCAGATGATGGAGTGGATCAAAGTCTGGGTGATGACCTCACTGGCGTCAGGATCCATGATGCAGAAGCCGTCGTCATCGATATATGTCTCAGTACCGTTGTCATAGTCACCGAATGTCGCGTTTGCAGGACTCTCCGTCATGTTTGCGACCTGGAGAAGAAAAGAAACATGATGAGTGAAGCACTGACTGGAGACATTTGCAGAAGGACCTGAAACACGCTGTCAGTGAAGCTTTGATCATGTGATGTTGTTCAGGTTGAGCAATGAGAAAAGAGACTTCAGAGAGGATCTCCGGCCTCCATTGTTCCCAGTAGATCTGACGTGTTATTTAATGCTCCACCGCTCACAGAAACCAGACGTTGTACATTGTAAAAAACGCTTGTTATAAAGAATTAAAACACATAAATTGTGAATGTTTCCTGAAAGCTGTCCAGCTGCTGCGCTGCCTGGGTTCGCCGTCCTGGAGCCGACCTTTCTCGTGTCTTTGGGTCAGTCATGTTGACATCAAGGATCCCTCCAGCGTGAAGTGTCTGACGTGCTACATGAGCTGAAGCCGCGGCGTCTGCTTCCACCATCAGTGAAGGTCTCGCAGTCACATGTGGGTGTTTGGTCTGTGCCTCTAATAGCTTCCTGTTTCTGCCACGTATCCACGTAAAGCCGCCACAGCAGCTCCGACCTTAAACTTCAGCACAGTGTCTTTGGTGGTTTTTGTGTTCCTGTCTGCTCTGTGCCACATAACGATCTCTTCTCCAGATGAGTCTGTCTCATCCATTTAACAGCAAACTCAGCAGAACGAGTCTGAGACGCAGATGCAAAAGTTTCAGGACACTGAAGTTGTAAAGTTTACACACCGCCTGATTTCTAAATGTATGATCGTGTGACGAATAATATTGTAATAATAATTTTTAACATTGAACCAATTTTAATTTGAATCAGATCCTTTGATTTGAAGGAAAACTTTGTAACATCAGTTGTGTTGGGTAGTTTGTGATGTGATTCTCACAAACAGCTGAATTACTGTGATTTCTGTCCTGATCTAAAGCTGCAGTTTTACTTCCAGATGTAGAAATCTGTGGTGCCAAAAAAAAAGCCAAAATTAATCATCTGTGTGATGACACCAAAGGAAAGCCCTGTGCCATCATTAGAAAGCAGGTTTGACCTCTGACAGACCACTGCGCTGTCTGATGAAAGAAGATATGAAGAGTTCAGCACCAACAATACAAATCAATCCAGCACAGCGTGCACCCTGCACACACCGGGGTTGAGACTCCTCACACCTTTTCTGGTGGTTTCAGAAAATAAACCATCGTTCTGTGTCAGCTGTTCCTCTGGTTATGAATGACCCACTTTCAGCCCGAGGCGACGCCTGCACAGGTACGCCGTGCTTTGTGCTTCGCTTAGAAAATGATCCGATTGTTATCAGAGGGCATCTCAGATGTAATGAGGTCAAAACAAACACTAAGAGCCAAACTGAAGTGAGAAATCACAAAAAAGGGAGTGCAGAGGCTTTGTGTCTGCAGAACTGCACTTTTTTGCATTGTTCAAACACAAACGAAGATTCTCTGAATCAGATTCTGATTTCTGAAGAAGCCGGCGAGCTCTAACCTCCAGTCCGGATAACATTTCATTCACTCGTTAATTTATTATTTGTCAATAAAACTATGCTGTCGGATGAGAAGTTAAAATCGGTCTAGATGCAGACAAACCAAATATAATGATGTCAAATCCAAACAGTCAGAATCTTCACAGACTGGCTTTTACTGCTGAGTTTAACTGTTTAGTATTTAGTATTTATTTATTTATTGTCATTGTCAGAGAACAATGAAATTGTTGGGTCATTTTAGAGTTTTATGCTTCATTTCAGTTTGTGGCTGTGAGGTCGTCACATCTGTGGCTGTAAAACTGTTTCAGAGCTCGTTTGAATCATTACTAACATAAAAAACAAGATCAGATTTATTATTGTTATTGTTGAGAATCAGAGGAACTAACGTGATGAGCTAAACGTGTGGATAAAATGTAACAGTTTCAGATTCACTGAATCTAGATTTTATCACCTCGCTGTTAAATTTTGTGCTTTTTCCAGGAGAAATCTTTAAACTATTTTTAGTAAAAAAAAATAAATTTTGAAGTTTTTTTTTTTTAATAAAGCATTTTTACTTGAGATCAAACCAGGCACACGTGGGCCGTGACCTACAGACAGTGTGTCACCTTGATGAGATTAAAGTACCTCATTTGACCTTCTTTGAATCCTTTCGCAGAATTAAATCATCTAAGACTTCAAACGTCACTTCTTAAACACGACGACTCAGAACTGTTCACAGTTTTCTGATCTGAGCTGATATAAAGCAGCGAGGTGGGAGAGTGTGAGAGGCAGAGGAGGATGAAGGGAGGAAGATGGAGGGCAGCGCGTACAGACAGTCCTAACCCATATAAAAAGCAGAGGACATGCAAAGTGTGAGATTAAAATGTCTCACTTTTGATGCATTCATGAACGTGGGTCTGTGCAAGGATCCGTCTGCAGGCTTTGAAGCTGTTTCCCACATGAGCTCGTTCATTGTGTCTTTGAACAACGTGTGATTACAAAGCTGCTAAAATACAGATAATTAAACAGGAAAAGTTTCATTTTTAGTTCCTCTCCACCAACAGTAGTGTTTGAGTTAAACATGCCTGTAACAAAAATAAGCCCACATCATAACAACAACAACAACAACAACAACACAACAACAATAATTAATCCCAGAAATTACATGAAATGAAAACTAAAACTTATAAAGCAACTAATCAAAAAATCTGTTTAAATTTAACTAAAAAAATCCAACATGATAATAATTCTGCTTGTTCAGCTGTTTATAATGAAAACAGCAGGAAACGGAGAGAGCTGACCTTCAAAGTAAAAACTTTTAAGCAGCATTAATAATTAATATTATGTGTTGTTCTTTGTAAATTTTAATTCATTGATCTGAGGAGACTCCTGTGCGTCCTGAGTCAGGCCCAGCAGTCACTGGGACGCCGGCTCACATATTTCACACCTTTTCACACTTCCCACCAAATTAAAATGCTATGTTTAACACATGAAGCTTTACATGGACATGATAATAATAATATTTAAGTGTGGGCTGAGTGTGCCGGTGCTCTGGTTTCCTCCTGCAGGCCACAGACTTGCATGTAGGGTTAATTAGTGGCTGTAAATTAGCTGCAGGTGTGACTCGTCTGTAATCTGAGGTCCAGCTCTGCTTTACTTCACGTGTTTGTAGAATTGCTGTAACACGTTTCTGTAGCTGCGTTAACAATGAAGCCTCTGCAGCGCCGTCATTAGTCTGACTGACTGTGTCTGTCTCCTAATGTGTGGTTGCCAATAAGACAGTTTTGGTGCATTGGTTGAGGTTTGAAAGTTGAGTTTGGGGTTTAGAGATTTGAGTCACAGCAGTTGTGGAAAAACCATCAAAGCAGATAGAAACGAGGGATGGAAAGAGTTTGGGCGAGCGAGAAGGCGTCAGGTATTTCACATGAAATCAGAGCGCGATGGATCCGTACGAGAGGAGGAAGCATCAGGACAACTTAATGTTCCAGTCACTTGTCCTCGTTTGCTTTTCCCTCACACAGCATTCGTGCTTCTTATAATTATGATAGATGACACAAAAAAAACAAGGTCATGGCTCCTCCCACCCGAACGCCTCAGAATCTTTTTTTTAGGTAATTAACTCGTTTTTTAATGAAGCATTATTATTATTGTTTTAATGAAACATTGCTACACTTTACTTTCATACTGTGGATGTTTTCTGAGTTCCAGGCCTGAAATCCACAGCCATGGGTTCAGATTTAAGCATTGAAAAAAATTCCAGCATTTTTTAACAATGTCACAAATCCATCAGATGTTCACATGAAATGTTCAAAGCTGAGAAACACATTGAAGCTCTGTTTAAAAACCAAAGTGTTGGAGCCACAAGAGTCCAGAGCTACAGATGGTTTTCGCTGACAGGCCGTGAGCATCGGTATAAATAAACTGCAGCGGTTTGATATCTGTGACACAGAGGAGCAGAAACCAACCTCAGTGTCCTGATGTTTGATCTGTTTCTGATAAATCACAGTGCATTCTGGGTAAACCTTCGAGGCTCGTATTAGCATGTGGAGCAGGTAGCAGTCAGATTAATCTGTATTTGACCCCACGATCGTCTTAATTACGTGATTACCTGATATGTATCGTTCTGTTTCTGGAATGAGGAGGCAGACATGGATGCTGTTTTCAAAGCTTTGAGGGAAACACATTTAAGTTCTGAGTAAATGGACCCTGCAGCGCCGCGATAAAGACACAAACAAGAACTTGAACTTCTTTAAAACCTGCCGTGAGAACAAATGTGACAGGCTGATATTGCTCTCACTTTACCTCTTTCAGTTCTCACTAACCTCAGTGAGGCTGTTATTAATGAGAAAGGCAGTAAGAAAAGACAACACCTTTCTAAAAATGCAAACTGGGAACAAACAGGGTTTCATGTTTTTGCAGAAACTGGCAGTTCTCCAAATATGAAATAATATCTGTGAAAGGCATTTATCCTTTAAAGTCTGATCATTTCTTTAAAACTTTAAAATTAATTCTGTGTTGCATCTAAACAAACGTTTCTTTAGATGCAGCACAGTGAAAACAGACACACTAAAATCACAATGCAGTGAGACAGTAAAGTGTAGAGCATGCATACCTTGCAGAGCGTTCTCCCTGAGCCGATATTTTTCTGACTCCTGACAGAGCGGCGGCTCTTTAACAGCTCTCGCTCTGTGTGGGTAAGAAGACGGTGATGGCACCACAAAGAACAAAACCTCAAAGCAGGCGCAGTCAAAGCCACGTTCTCTCGGGCTCGATGACTGTGAAAAGTCCTCTGATCTTCGCACTCACACGGAGCTTCCTTATCTGATGGTTTGATCAGCAAAGCCGTCACAGCCGCGTGGGGACGTTCTCCCTACGCGATTTACCCGCCCCCACAAAGGTCACGTCTGACACGAAGGATTTCTCTTTTTTGTGGGAAACTGTAACATTTGATTTGCTGGCTTTATTTAAAAATGCTAATCTGTTGCCTTAAAACAAACAAACAACAACTTTAGAGTTATGAGATACATTAGTTAATAAACCCGGCCTAGATTTGGAAGGAGAACCCACAATATTTGCATTGTGTGTCATCCGTGTGCTCCATACACCGCACTGTTACAGTAACACCAGTGACAGTGGTTTGTTACAGTAATAGTAAAATAAAGTACACCTTTCCTCTATTCTGAGGTCTTTACATATCAGGGAATCATGAAATTCATCCTTTATCAAACACAGCAAGAACAATCTTCTTTGGACAGACGAGACCAGCGTGCAGATGTTTGCAGCACCAGGCCTGATGTGAGTCATAAATCCTGTGTACATCAAAGTAGTATTTACTCATCTGTGAGGTCGTCTGTTCCACAGCTACAACTGGGACCAAACTGGGACCAAACATCAACAGAACAATGATCCCACACAGAGGAAATCTAAAAGCATTTCTGGATTTTATTAGTTATTTTAACAGCATTATCAGTGGAAAACAGGTAAATGTACAAATAAATACTGGATACCAAATCAAACATCCAGAAAGTCCAAGTTTCTTTCTTTCTGTATTTTTAATACAGTTTTACATAATATAACATGTTATACTTTATTTAATAAAATAAATTCCATTCAATAACGTTAATAAGTAAATAAACTTCAAAACATTTGAGGTTTTTGCAGGAAGTTTGCCTCCATCTCTGTTGTTTTCTAACTTTGAACAGAAACTGATGATGTCAGACGTCAGCTGCAGGTTTTCTGGGAGTTTGAGAGCAAAGCTGAACTTTTTTCTCTGTATTTACGGGATAATATCTGAGACAACAATCAGAGATTGCTCCACAAAGCACCAAGTTCACCAACTCTAACTTTTTAACTCAGAGTTTCCAGTTTCACAGAAACGCATGTAGGTGACAGGACAGATTCACTGTGGCAACGGGTAAACAACGAGCGAGCTTCAGGGAACTGAGGAAGATGAAGCGATCAATGTGGGCATCATCATCACTCAGTCACCATCTGGCCAACTTGTAGATTATAGATAAACTGCAGTTCTGCCAAATTTCACATCTGAGTTTTAAATCCAAAGATTCAGCTTCACAGGGATGAAGAGCAGGTGGAAAAAACTGGAGATAATAATACGAATCAAACAGATGAGGCCGAGTTTACTGACAGACCTGTGATATTAATGTCAGTCAGATATTCACAACATCACCTGTGATTATTTTCCATCCCTGTAACTGATCACAACCCAGTAAACGATTGATCACTGATCAGCGTGTGCTCCGTGTTTAGATTTAGATTTCTCTGTGTGAATGTTCACTGCAGTGCGTCTCCTGTTTCCTCTCCTGCTGCTGTTTGTGGCTCCAAAACAAACTGACAGTATTTGGTAGTGAAATGGCGCCACCTCGTGTCTATGCGATGCATTTCACTGACGTCACAGCCAGTTCAAGTTCATCCTTCCTGTCTTTGTTACAGGTGATGAGGCTGTCATCGAAGGACTCAGGATACATCTGATGGCTGCAGTCTGTTCTGTTATTTCCTAGATGCGTTAGTATTCTCCACCATAATCCTCATTCTGTTTTGTGCATAACGTAATCTACACCACAGAGTCAAGGTATCTAATATTGCGTCCACCTGCACATGCACACAGGTGGACGCGTCTTATGCAGAAGGTGCACTCTGAAACAGACAGGAGACTGTAAGTGGAGTCAGGTGGAAGCTGAAGAGGAGGAGACAGCCTCTGGGTGGTGTAGAAGAGTATCAGATGACTGAAGTGCTGAGGTAAGTTATAATGATATAGTGGCTGACCTACACACTAACACTGATGTTTATTTATCAATAACATTTATTATAATAAACAGTGTGATGGTGATAAGTATATAATTCATATCGTTATTATTTGTGTTGTAGTTTCTCACTTTGGCCACCAGAGGGGCAGTGAACACTCATCAATCCACAGTCAACAGCAAGTAAAAACATCAAACAACCCTGATTCTCACATTACATCAAACAGTCTGTTTAACTCTGGAAGCTATGATGTGAAAATATATACAGCAAAACACCAGTTTCATCACAATTTATTCAAACAACAAGACATGTTTGAGTAAAGGTAGAACAGCTCAGATAATTAAGTTCAGTGAAGTCCCTACAAATCAGAGAAAACCCCAACAATCAGACATCACTCTATGACGAAAGACCTGGTGACAGGGGAAGGAAACTGCCTTTACAGGAAGGAGACCCAGGAAGTTCAGCCATCTGCCGCAACTAGTTGAGCTGGGTCATGTATCTCCTGATGTCCTGAGGAAGCACTTACCAAAGGAAAAACATGACAATGACTCAGACTTCTACACTTTACACAGTTCATATCTGAATAATATGATGATGTTTGTTTCTGTATGTATGTGATGATGAGAAAAGTTTGAGTGTGAAGCTGACCAGCTGTGCAAGGAGACTGGTTTACTGAGTTTCATGTGTAAATCCCAGTTTCACTGAGTTTCATTGCCTTTTCCTTTCACGCTCAGACCAGAGCCTTATTTAACACCTTCTGAGCGTCTTCAGCGAGCTGGTTGAGGATAAAGTTCAGAACTCTGTAGGTTGTGACGAAGGAGAGGCTCATGGCTACCGGGATTCCCACTATCGGAATGAATCTGGATACTTCCTCTGCTCCAATTAATCCAGCTGCTCCTCCAAGTTGGGCGAACACCTTCAGGAAGAGCTCTTTAGTAATTTCCTTCGCAGCCACTGGTGAAATGATGACATCACGCAGCTCAGTGTATGACACAGCTGTTCTGATAGCGAGTCTCTTCGAGATTGGACATCGAGACCAACGCATGTACAAATGTGTGACAGCACCAATGAGCACAGCAACATCAACAGCAACAGAAAGCCCAGGAACGGGAACAGCTGCAGCAGCTGCAGACAGAGTGGCCAAGAGGTATAAGTGTACCTTTAAAGCCTTTTCTTCTTGCTGATGACGTCGGGGTTGACGTTGGGCATGACATACAGCAGAGTGTCTCTCTTATCTTTGGGAAGCTCTCTCTCTAAGGTCTCTTGTAAGAGAGAGAAGTCGTACTTGTGGAGCTGAAAACTCGACATTAGGAAGACTCGTGGAGACTCGATGCCAAGTCTTTGAGTCCTGCGTCACAGAGGAAACATGTCAACACCATCAGATTCATACAAATAAAAAACGATAAAAAACGAGATTTAAATGATTTTGAAAACTCGACCTCACTCACGTTGAACGCAGTCGTCTCTGATTTTTGTGAGAGTTTTCTCTTTGCTGGAGTCGGAAACACTTTCCTCGGCTCGGATATCGTTGTCAATCTTTGAGCGAACAAAGTAGAAATTTTTCTTCATCTTCTGAATCTTCTGAGCGAGTTTCACGTCATTTTCTCTGAAGCGAGTGTCTGAGATGATGAGGAAGAAGTCATACTTGTCAAACCCAACAAGCTTCAGGTATTTCCTGCTGGGAAGTCTTTGGTTCCGATTCCAGGAAGATCCCATAAAGTGACGTTGGGATTATCTGGATGGGGGTACGGTGTGACCTCCGACGTCGTTTCTGTGACACCAGTAGGAGCAGCTCCCTCGTCTCTGTTCTTTATCCCCCTGAAGGCATTAATAAAGGTGGATTTACCTGCACCACTTTCTCCTGTGATGGCGATATTTAACGAGACATTGGTTTGCTTTTCTAAATATTCTTTAATCCTTTTTGCTGCTCCGGCCGTGTCGTTGTTCTTCAGGGCTTCTTTAACTCCAGGAATTTGTTCTGGGCACGAATCATCTGGATCCTCCATGCTCATCCTGACAGAAAGAAAAACATAAAGACTTTTATTTTGGAATGCAGACATATACTATTGATAATCAGTAATGTTACTGACGGCACACGGACACAGCACATGTGGGCAGTAAGTGATTAAAGGTAAAACGTTAAATGTCGGTAAAAGACGTGTTTATAAGAGAAAACACTGAGGCCACCAAAGTCTCTTCCTGGGGTTTGTCAAGTATTTTTACATCCAACATTAACATTAATTTACAAATAATATCTTTCTATAAACCTGAAACTTTTCCTTTTCCTTGACTTGAAAAAATAATTTGTGCTTATTCTCATTCTTGTTCTGATAGGACAGCAAACCTGTCACTTAACTAAGTTTAAGGTAACAGCAGGTACTCACTGGATTCTTCGTACTGTTGACACACACACAGCTGGATCAGCAACAACAGCGATCGGTGCTTCAGTTTGTTCTCACCTGGTTGTTATAGAGGTGCAGAACAGGTGAGGGCAGATCCACAGAGAGCGACCAATGAAAATGCTGCAAACTGAACCAACCAGTTTGTTTTTACTCTTTTTTTAACTGCAGGGCCCTATTTCAGGAAGCCGGTGTAGTGCAAACTCTGAGTAAGTATACCCTGAGTTAACGAAAACTCTGGGTTTTCGGTTTCACAAAGCGAGTTTAGATTAATTCTGAGTGAGTTACTATGACGACACACTCCGTGAAGCTAACCTGCCCCCTAGCAGGTTAGCTTCAACTAACCCTAACTTTCTCCGCCTCTTTGTCGGAAACCTGACTGTAGGAAGTGTCAGACATGGCGTGCTCCTTCCTTGAAGAGCCAGTAGATGTTGAAGCCCAAATTCTCCGCAGAGCTCTCCGCCGGGAGAGAGTGATTAGAGCGCGTTTGGACATTTTATCA